ATTGTATGAATCCATATTTTAAATCGTATGAATTGGTTACTTTTGTTCACAGATTTGGTTTGTTATATATTATTATTTTCAGGTTTTTAAAAAATAAATACAGGATTTATGTATTTTTTAAAAATTTATTTTTTTATTTTTTAAACATTAGTGACGGATTAGCGAGGGAAAATCCGTCGCTGAAAGTGTTTGAATTTCCCTCGCAAATCCATCGCTGAAAGTTCCCTCGCAAATCCGTCGCTGATATTTCCCTCGCAAATCCGTCGCTGATAATTCCCTCGCAAATCCGTCGCTGATCCGTCGCTAAGTACATCCCTCGCTGATCTGTCGCTGAAAGTGTCCGTCGCAAATCCGTCGCTGATTTCCCTCGCAAATCCGTCGCTGATCCGTCGCTGAAAGTGTCCGTCGCAAATCCGTCGCTGATTTCCGTCGCTGATCCGTCGCTGATAGCATTACCTATGACTGTTTGACCGACGGAGTATCAGCGACGGATCAACGACGGATTACCCTTTCAGCGACGGATCAGCGAGGGAAATTTCTCTCGCTGATACCCAGCATTTTTGTAGTGAATGTCATATCATTTAGATGCGACAAAAGAGGTTTGTTTTATTAAAATAATGTATATTTGTTATTTATATAAATATGGGTTTATAAAAGTGTTTTGATGATTATTCACCCTGTAATAACAAACAAAGGATTTTTTACTAGATCTCACGGTCTAACCCTTATTTTGGTGTTATGAAAATATGCATTACAGGTCGGGCACAACCAGATGATAAGGGGAAGGGGAAATTGTGAAGATATATATATATATATATATATATATATATATATAGGGTATATTTCAAATACAACCATATCCATTTGTACAACCAATACAACCTAATTAATTAAGATATTTATGAAAATGATGAGAGTTCATTTATTATGATTTAAATATTTATGGAAGATGAATACGGTTCATTAATTATGATTAATACTTTATATTAGAAAACAATCAAAACTTCTATGAAATCACATATTTATCAAATTAAATGGACGGTTGAGATTGGTTTGTATTGGTTGTACAAATGTAAAAAATTGTATAATAACCAACATATATATATATATATATATATATATATATATATATATATATATATATGCTTGCATGGGATGTTAAGGTAACATGTTATCATTTGTATTTGAATACTTGTTATGTATACAAGTTTGTTTATAGTGATTATTAGGAAAAATTTGGTAGCTACTTTGTAATGTATCTTTTGTATATATTGGGAGCAAATGTGTAAATTATATTTCTTGATATATGGAAATATATGTTTATATACAAATATGATCTGGGATGTTACATGTTAGTATTGTCGTCGACTGTGATATCTACAATTGTTCGATACTCCATTCGAATATGGATTGTGATGTGATAATCGTGTGAAATTGACAGTTGATAACCAAAAAACAGAAGTCAAGATAGATGAAGTCAACTTACTCAGTAGAAACCAACAAATTCAAACATTATAACATCTAAATTTACACTAAAACGTGAAGGAAATCAATATATATGAATATTGAGGATAAGGTAACTATGCATTTTTCATACCAATTTTATTGATAATAACTTCAAAAGTTTTATTCTCACTTTTGTAAGTAACCACATGTGATATGTAGATTGAAAGGGACATACAATACCAAATGTACTATTACAGTCATTTTGTATCCATTGTTTTCTAGCAACACTATGCTTCAGATGATTGAATTCAAACAATCAGAAATCCCCCTGTGATTACAGCTTAAATCGGATATGTCGATACTTTTTTGTGTCAACTGTGTATCTAGTTGATATTGATTGGGCTGTGATAATTGTGTGATACGTGGAATCTAATCGAACTAAACAATGTGTATCTATATTTGCTGATAATCATGTGATAATCAGTATTGATTGGGAAATCGTGTGATACATGAACCTAATCAAACCAAATAAAGTGTAATTGTATTTGTTGTTATAATCATGTGATAATCATAGGAATGAGGGATTAAAGAGGGGTGGGGATTATTATATATCATATATTGTAGCTATAAACATATAGTACTAATAAAATATAAACTATATTGATTAAAATATTTAAATAGAAAAGAAAAAATATAATAAAAGTGAAAAGAAAAAAATGCCCCTGATTTAACTTAACAAATTTTTGTTGAGGGACTCCGTCCGTAACAAAATTGAAACTACAATAATGTTACTTGTAATTAATTTATGTGGGGATTCAATCTAAACTTTTGATATAACCATAGAATCCAAATATGTAATTTACTCTATTTTATAAATTGTACCTTTGAAAATAAAAATTTATAACGTTATATTTTATAGTTATTATTATTATTAGTAGTAGTAGTAGAATGTATGATAAAATAAAATAACATTTAATAGTTATTTATATTCGAAATAATTGATTGAATTATACTAGTGGTCCTTACGGTATACTTAAAATTTGGATTTATTCTCTAAAATAAACTATTTATACTCATGGTTTCTAACTTTTTAAATTTATGACACTCAAACTCAAGGTTCTTAGAGTTAACACCGTCACTTATTAATTGTTAGGAGGGGTAAATCAGTCTTCGGCTAACTACAAAGACCAAAAGTGTAAATCACTCTAACATTAATTGTGATTCACATATTTTTTTTAAAACTAATTCTTTATTAAAAACATTTTAAATATGGTTAACGTGGGAAATTTATATACTAAAATTTGTTCGTTAGAATAAATAATTTTTTCATAAAAATAAAATTATGTTTTAAAAGTTAAAATATTATGAGATATTATTAAATTAAATTATCAAATAATTGTGAAAGAACTACAACAATTAAATTTATTAACCCTACTTTTTAATATTTTTGACAAAGAGTTCTTCTAAATATGTGAATCGTGATTAAATTTAGAGTGAATTATACTTTTAGTTCTTGTAATTTGTCCAAAAACTGATTTATAATTTCTAACAATTGTTAATTGACTGTTTTAAATCAAGCGACCGTAAGTTTTATAAAATTGAAAAGTTAAGAACCATCAATGCATATAATTTGTTTTAAGAAGCAATCCCAAATTTGAAAAAAAAACCAAAGGAACCACCAATATAATTCACTCTTTCTAATATTTTGGAACAATTCATATTATAGGGTTTGATCATAATATACTAGTTGTGTACCCGCACAATGCTGCGGGATCTTAAATTTTGAAAAGATGTAAACGAGCATATTGATTACAGATAAACATTTGTATTTGAAATTGACAGACCCTACATTTTATTGATTTTTCATATTCAATGGATTTGAGATGAATTGAAACAATTCAATAATCTATTTGATGTTGAATTTTGACAACTGACATATTCTAATTTGGTCATGCATGAGATGTCGTATTATGAAACTATCAATCGCTCTCGAAAGAAAGCACGGCGTGACTTATCTTAAGCGTGATCAAAATTGCATAAGTCTAGCAAACTCCACTTGTTATATAAACCAAAAAATCAGTGAAAGTAATTAAACTAAAAAGAAAACATAATATTTCTATTAGGTATCTCGTTTTACATGAAAATCACCAAATATAACAACGAAGAGTCTACGTTTGTATCCTCAGCCTCCGTTGCTCATGTTCTAAAAAATCAGATCAAAAAATGAAATAACAAATACCCATTTTGTAGAGTTGGAACATAAATAGAAATCCAATGAAAATGGTTAACATGTATGATACAAACATTAAAGCAAGTACATTTAAGTAACTTCCTTGTGACCTAGGCATCCATTTTTAACTCTTCACCTATGATTGAATGCTCAAACACCCAGGTAGCACAAAAGCCTCACGGACTCAACTCTGCTTTTTGGCAATGAAAATCACAACATCTTTTATCTTTAATCAAATTACCTTGCTTAATGCAAACCCTAGAAGCCAATTAGAAGATGCAAAATCATCTACAAGCTATATAATAATATAACATTAACCAACAAGAAATTTTGGGCAAAGGCAATACTAAAGGGCCATTTACTAAACACTTACTTGGTAAGTGTTTATCGCATAAATTTTCTCATTGGATGAACATGAAAAGGAACAAGAATCTTACCGGGTAAGAGTGATGAGAAAGATGTAGTCTTACCCGGTAAGTGAGGATGACAACTCTTACCCAGGTAAGCGTTTACCTAATAAATTGTTGTATTCGATTTGTTTTGATATACTAAAATCTTACGCATCAAAATCAATTATAGTGTTGACTCCTATTGGTAAGACCTTACTAGGTAAGTATTTGGGTAAACGGCCCCTAAGTACTAACAAGAGTATACTCCAAAATTAGGGGAATTCACAAAACGCTATCTTGATATCTTCTTCTAGCAAACACAAATCGTCATTCCCCAACAACATACAGAAAAAAGAATTGTGAAATTGTGATCAATAAGACCAATAGAGCAGGAAATATCACATCAATTAGTTAACAATCTTTACATCATTCAGTTTATGCAATCAATTATCAAATTTAGTTATATGAAAAAAAAGGAAGCTCAAGAGATTGGGCAACTAAAGAATGAAACCAACAGTCTTCATTCTTCCTCCAAATTCCAAAAAAAACTCATTTATATAAACCATATCACATCAAAACTTTTATTATAATCCTGAATCAAAACCCATTCACGCAATGGCATCTAAAGATTCAAAGTTGAAGAACCTTGTTGTATCTGTTCATCAAAGCAAAGAAGAAGAAGAAGAAGATGATGATGATGATGAAAAAGAAACAAAAACAGATTTAGGCATTTGTTTGGATAAACTAAACAGAAACAGAACAGGAGCCCAAAGGACAAATTTTGGGAGTAGGAATAACATGATGGTTGTAAAAGCATTAAGAAGTTGTA